TTTTTATTTTTATTTTTATTTTTATTTTTATTTTTATTTTTATTTTTATTTATTTTTATTTTTATTTTTATTTTTATTTTTATTTTTATTTTTATTTTTATCTTTATCTGTTGTATAAATACATTCTGTCCTTTTTTAAATTCACACCGTGATTGGTCGTGGGAACGGCCCTTTTCCCTCCCTCTGCTGCAGGCGTTCATCATCTGACCGTCCCATAAATCCCACAGCCTACGTTGAAAAACTGTCAAACTCAAGGCTCGCAGGCCTAATTCAACCCGTGCGGTCATTTTATGTGGCCCACTAGAGCTTCCCACAGTACAGTCTGCATTTACCCAAAAAAACAAACAAAAAAACTACATCTCCCATGATGCACGTCGTTGTTTTTTTTCACCTCCTCAACCTCCGAAACTTGACAAATATATTTTTGAAATGACATTGTATGTTGGGATATATTATTCAGTTGATTGATTTTTCTTTTTTTTTTTGCGATGTTTCTTCTACAAAGGGGGGCGCTCTTCTCCTCCTCCATCGTCAGTGTTAGCATTTATCTCTGCGGTTTTAATTCTGCATTTTTTATTTATTTTTTCAAGGTATTTTTCACCTCTCTTCTCTGACGCTTGGAAGTTTTTCACAACAAAAATAGTTCTTCACACTCTGAGAGGTTTTATGTCATTTTTCCAGAGGTTTTTTTTTTTTTTTTGCCTGATACTGATTTACAAAATAGGTTCATTTTGTATTTTATATCTTTACAAATGCTACACAAAAAAAGCACTTGTGGAAAAAAAAATTTGCAAAATGAGTTCATTTGACATTTTTCATGGAGACCATTCACTTGTCCTCACTTCACACGGAACAACAATAGAGAAGATTTTTTTTTTTTTTTTTTTTTTTTTTTTTGGGGTGAAGTCTCGTTTCACTCCGACTCACTTTCATTTTTCCACCACTCTTTGTTACACTGAAGCTGGGCCAGACGTATTTTATATATTTATTGATATTCCCTTTAGTTAAAGACAGGGAGCGAACGTTCAGCTGTTTATGTTGGCGGTTATATATTTGGCCTACATTTCTGTGTAGGCTAGGCAGCCAATAACGTTAAGCCGCTGCCAATTAGCGCTCTCCAGGTTGCTAGGTCGCCATGGTCAATTGAGGAACACATCAATAGGACTTGAAAAGGTTTCTCTGCGATCAGACCTTCTGACATATTAAGTAGAATAATGGGGGAGGGGGGGAGT